TCTTTGTCTTCTCTAAACAGCAAGCAGCGACGCAGGTTCTTTCTCTTGGCCGCCATAGCTAGGGCTTGAGAAGAACGATGTTCTAACACTCGATCTAAACCATCTCGTAGGTATTACACTACTGGAAAATTTTTGAAGGGTATCCCGGGCTACCCCGGGCTCTACATTGGATCCGCCTGTGTGTGTATATATCATTGTTGCGATATCAACACCAACAAAGTAGAGAGTTTTCATAGTGTCATGTGACAAAAAAAACAAAGAAACTTAAATTAAAAGTATTTTTTTAGCATATACAATTTTGTTGATATTCATGTTTTTTTAATCTTATATTCCTAAATGTCCTTTTTTGTTTCAACAAGAAAAAATAAAATTGAAGCCTGTGATTGCATTTGATGTTCGGTAGGTTATCTATCAAAATCTAACCTTGTTTTATTGATCCATAAATTAGTTTTATTTGTTTTTACTTAATCTTGTGATCTAACCTTTGATTTTTGGGACTAATTATATTATGAGCTAAAATTAAGGAATGAGATTGGTCGAATATAGTTACATGTCAGGCTTGTGCTATCAGTGGAATTTTTTTTTTGTATTAGGCCCATCAGAAGGGTGGAATGAGAAATTTAATCAGAGCAATACCTTCCACCACTGAACCTCCATCGACCACCATCACAACCATATCACCCTGCACCAATCGTTCGTGAAATCAAGTAGATTCTATCTTTTCTCATGTTTGACATGAATAATGCGATGAGCAGAATTTGCTTCGTGAAGCTTAGTATTATTAAAGAGTGGGACAATGAATGTCGAGTTTTGAAGTGTACATTCTACATGAATTCTTGTAACAACCATTCTTTTATTTTAAAAAGAAGAAAATCATGTCAGTTCTATAGACAATTAAAAAATAAAATTTTATTCTGCTAAGCAATTTACATTTTTTTGGAGGCATACATCAGGAATATGTTTTATATTCTATAAGAATACCTCATATTCTTTTAAAGAATATATCACATTCTGTAAAAATATTGCACATTCGTTAAGAATACTGATTATTTTGATATATTTTTCTTATAAGAATGATTTTGATTCTTTATTATTTCTTTGTTGTTGCTGTGATTATTCATTATTTCTTGGTTGTTACATCGAATGAATTTCTTATAAGGATTGCTTCAAATTTAGAAAATTCCTTTGTTGTTGTTTTGTTTCAAATTTAGAAATTTCTTTCTTTGTTGTAATTCTTGTAGGAATGTGTTTTGTTTTAAAGAATATTTATAAATATTCTTTAAGAATGCTCTTCGAAAACCTATATTATTCCATAATGTTTTTAAATTTAAATTTGAATCCATAATGTTTTTTATATTTTAAAACAATTTCAGAAATAGATTTTCTTTATACACACCAACCTATCCCACACACCAATCTAATCTAGCTTACTTTACCACACAAGTCTAATTTTAGATTATTGGGTTTTTTTAATTAGACCGTCATTATACAATCATCTAGACTTTTGACTAAATTTAATTGGGACTTGCTTGAAACCTCGGGCTTTTTTTTTAATCCGAATTTTTTTCTTTTGTGTGTACATAATTTACACATCTTTTTTTTAATAGCATAACACCTATGCATATGCCGTTTTTTTTAATACCCAACTTTTTAACCCACTGTATTTTTATTTGTGACGTCTAACCTTTATAATTATTTTTTATATAAATATTAAATATATGTTATACTTTATAAGCTATTTTAACTCAATACAATTTATAATGAAATTCCTAAATTATGATGTAACAAAAAATCGTAAATTTTAAACCACGTCAGTTTTTATTCTTTTGACTAATATACCATTATATGCAGTAAATAAAATGTAATTTTTAATCGAATTTTATCGTAATATTTAAAATAAAAAAAAGAGTTTGAGGATAAGGGGTCGTTTGATAGTTGCTGACTGAGTTAGAACTGACTGTGTTAGAAGCTGACTGAGTTAGAAATTCTGATTGAGTTAACTTCTGATTGAAACTTGTTGTTTGATTTTACGTCTGACTGACCAAACAAAATGACAATATTACCCTCAAACAATATTTTTTCTTATAATAATACATTTATGCAATAATCTCATACCACAATATATTATTAATTAACTCCATTTATACAATAATCTAAAAAACATGAAGATTAAAAGAAAAAATTAACATATCTCTTGATTGTCTTCACTTCTTCTTACCAATTGAAAAAAAAAACTTGTGTTTGCATTCATATGTACTAGATTTGAACCATTATCATAAGTGGTTGCTACTTATTAATATTGTTTCAACAATCACATGAATAAAATATGAAATACAATGATCCTGGTTACAATTTATAAAAACAAATCATAAAACTACAAAAGAAAAAAGCTTGAACTCAGGGAAAGGGGTTGTCACACTTCTTTAATTGATGGTAAACATTGATCAGTAACCCACCTGTTCAATTGATGGTAAACATTGATCAGTAACCCACCTGTTTAAAAATTTGTTTAGGATAACAAGATAACAAACCTATGGTGTAACAGGGTAAAGAAACAATCCAAATACAAAACCATAATCAATAAATCAAATACATAAGTCATCTACAGATCTAGTAGGCATCATCGTATAACTCCAAGTTTAAAGTAGCATAATACCAATACAAATTTACAGATTTTGATCTAAATTAATCACAGAACATCTCAAGGATCACTTTTCAATCGTGTTCCACAGCATAATCGGTACAAATTGAAAAACATCTTCAAGCATGAAAACGGAAAAAAAAAATGAAAAGAAAAAGGAAATACCTTATTGGCGGTGGAAGAGGAAGACGATGAACGAACGATGGGGATGTAGGTAGGTACGACGATGCTTCAGGGGGTTGGGAGTTCGACATTGAAGGAGGTAGCCGGTGGTGAAGAGGATGACGGCGGAGGAGGTTTCCAGCGAGCCTGAAGAGGATAGACAGAAGCAATGGAGAGGACGAGTGATGTCCGTTGAAGGAAAAGCTGCTTGGAGCGAAGGAGATGGTGAGCCATGGGTAAGGGTAAAAGACGTCTATTTTCCAGTCAGCCTTTTATGTTTAGCGGACCGAATCAGAGCAATATGGATTGACTGTGGACCGAGTAAGCTAAGAAATAGAGAGTATCAAACACACTGACCAGAGCGGGTCAGTCAAAATGTCTGACCAGACTGAGTCAGTAAGAAATCAAACAGCCCCTAACTAAATTTATAGTTTTGACTAAATTTTATTGGGAGCTACCACTTTTTTCTTTTATTTATCTCGTTTTTTTCCTTTGTGTTCATCATTTACCTACGTTTTTTTAATTATAGCTACCATATATTTTTAATAGCTTATATATATATATATATATATATATATATATATATATATATATATATATATATATATATATATACACACACACAGAAGTAAAAAAATATTTTTTTTCTAGAAAACATTGCAATAAAATTATTAATTAATGAAAATGATTAGTTGATAATAATAATGTCTACACTATATGGTAATGATATGGTAATAATTACCATCTTTAACCTAAAAAGTAAACCTAATAATATAGGTTGACGTGTTCAAAGTAAGACCCTTTCAGAAAACCTATATTATTCCAAATGATTGGTCCATAATTGTCTTTACGTCCACAAAATAAATGTGATTCACATTATTATATATATATATATATATTATATCTATATATATATATCTATATATTATAATATATATAGATGACGTATTTGGTAAAATTAATTAGTGGTCCGTAGTGGGAAGTTAATAACCATAGCTGAATGTTGAAAATTATAACTTTTATTTATGTAGAATTATTCGTCAAGCTATCCAAAGTTTTAAAAAATGTAAAATTATATATAGACTAAAGTTTAAAAGTTCTTAAAAGTAAAGCTTCCAAAAATTACTAGGAGTAACTTAATCTAAATTATTAACATGTCCATTTATTTATGAAGTTACGTGTGCATTCAAAATTCATTTTTGAATAACTTTTTACCCATTTGACTAGTTTCCTGTATACCTTTTTATTTCAACTATGCAGTAAATATAAAAATGAGTCAATTAAAATGTCAAATATCATAGTAAATATACTATTATGGCGACTTGTTTTCAATTGGTTGTCAATACGAATTTTGAGTTAATTTGATGTGTGTAAATAAACTACACCGAGTTATATCATAATTTTAGGTTTTGGAGTCAAGAAACAAACCAACTGAAAAATACGAAACAATACTCAAACAATCACTCCTTTCTAGGATTTTTCGAATTAAAACAAAGTCCATTTCTATGCTTCCAAACTGACCAACACATGGTTGGAAATGATGACTTGAAGAGCTTTTTTTCAAAGTTAACATGCAAACTGAATCCAACCAAAGGAACACATGCCTAACCGAATTGAAATCGGGAGGTTGCAAGTCACACCAAGAAAACAACCTATGCCAGATATGATTTATCCGATTTTCACCTGAATCCATTATCTAGGTTATAGACCAGTACATATAATAGTAATATATATTTCAGTTTTTTTTTGAACCAGCAAATGAAATATATATATATATATATATATATATATATATATATATATATATATATATATATTAATAAAGAGGGACTCCCCAGCAAGAATGCTAGGAAAAACATACAATGAAAATTGAAACAGATGAATGAAAACAAGATGAACACAACCCAATGAAAGGTTTAAACACCATTGCAGACCATCTAATTGCTTCCGTTTTGCCCCTGTATTTCTCCCAAGTGAACATTGTAGAAATAATAAGATCTGCCACTTTAGATGGATGCGTCCTTTTGTTGTTAAACACCCGTTCATTCCGTGATTTCCAAATGTTCCAAACAACTGCATAAGAGATTCCTAGCAACCTCCTTCTTTTTTTCGGACAATTACCCCAATTTGAAGCAAAATCAAGAACACCATGAATTGAGGAAAAGTTTGCATGTTGGACATTACACCATTTTAAAATCTAGTTCCATATCGTTTGAGCATGCGAGCATTGAACCAGCACATGGTCTGGTGATTCCTCCTCATCACCGCATTGACAACAGGTTGTAGAATTCACATTGACCCCTCTTGTCGCTAGGGCTTCTGTAGTTGGAATTCGACCATGTTTTGCACGCCAAATAAAAGTATTTACTTTAATCGGGACCTCTTTCACCCATTCAAATCTTCCAATATTAACTGGAATACAATTATCCAATTTTTTCCTCAAAGCGTTGACCTGATCTCTTGTGGTTGTGAGAGGACATCTCCAATCCACTCCCCCATTCATTGATTGATTTTTAAGCACCATCCCAAGAGTAATTCCGCATTTATCCAAATCCTTTTGTGAGCACGCGATATTATTCCAAAACCCCGGTCAGAGTTTTTAAAGAAAAGATGTGGTCCGGTTTGCCCGCCAGATTATGCATACTTGAAATTGATTTTGCCCAAATCGACTCGGGTTCTGATCTGAACCTCCACCACCATTTAATGATCAAACCAGTATTGAAAGCCTTTATCGATCCAACTCCTAGACCTCCTGCTGTCTTGTTAGCAATGATTTTATTCCAAGATACCCAATGAATCTTGGACTGACCTTCTGAACCACCCCACAAGAACCGACGCCTCAACTTTTCTAATTTGTCAATGATACCTGTAGGTGCAACAAAGAGAGACATGAAGTATGTAGGAAGGTTCCCAAGGACTGACTTTATGAGTGTTAATCTCCCGCCAATAGAAAAAGTCTTCGATTTCCAATAGGTAAGTTTATTTTGAAATCTTTCAATCACCGGTTGCCAATGTTTCTTAAGACGCATGTTGGCACCCACTGGTACCCCGAGATAGTTAAATGGAAGAATTGTTGGTTCGCATCCAAGAGGTGATGCCCAACGAGCAACTTCATCCGAATTTGCTCCCACTCCAAAGACTCTAGATTCATAGAAATTGACTTTTAGACCCGAATTTGCTCCCACTCCAAAGACTCTAAATTTATATATTTCAGTTACATATCGATAAACTTACTTTTGCTACAAACAATTAAAAAAAATGAATCATCCATATTTGATTATTATATACCCCAAATAAGAAAAAAAACAGAAATTCTGAAAACGATTAAAACACATAATTAGATGACAAAAAAAAAGATTGATACTGTTTAAGCACATACCAATAATACAAAAGCAAAAGAAAAAGACGCTGGCAATGAATGAAATGGGACAAAACGCAGTGAAGTATATGTGTGTGGATGTGTGTGTGTTTTTGGAACATATCGAATTTGTAAGAGATTTTGTTTGGGAAATGGGTTGGTGCCACTTCACAACATGTGCATCTTAGTACTTCCTTTTTGTTCGCTAGTATATATATAGATGGCCAAATCATCAAGTCGAATGGTATGGAAACCTGTAAAAGAAAAAAAAAAGTTAACTTTTATTGAGTTAAATATGTTGATATGTCAACGTTTTCTTATTATCTTCTGATATTTTAAATAATAGATATATATTATATAATTACAAATTGATATTATTAAAATGATAATATATTACAAATTGATATTCTTAAAATGAAAATGTAATTTAAGAGCATATATACTTATTTTGTGACTCAAAATTATTGTCACATTGTAATTCCTTTAATTCCTTTAATTTTGACTTTTAATTAAACATAAAACTACAAATTTAGTCTCTGTGGTTTGCTGATTTCTATTGTTACAGTCCACATGGTTACAAAATTTTAAATTTCATCATTTTCACCGGTTTTGATTTTGGTTTATGGAAATAACTTCCGTTATCTCTCATCCGTTAACAGTCCACATGCATATTATGTAAGGGCATTTTAATCATTTTGCATCTCATATCTCTCTCCTGTTCTATTAAACCCATCCATTAAGAACTTTAATTTTTCCCGCTCATCGATCTCACTTCTGTCTCACCTCTCGTTCTAGTCTAATCCACGCACAGTGACGAGAGCACAAACCTACGTTTTTTTCTATTTAAATGAATCTGATATGTAAAATTAAAACAGTGAAAAACTAATAGTAACAGAGGTTGTATAAAAAAAAGATTTAAAGTTCCTACAATAGTAGCAGAACAGGTCTAATATCTTGAAATATTTTCACAACTATATCATTACTAATACTATCTAAAACACATTTTTTAATATATGATACTAAACTATCACTTAAAAATTATATTCAGTTACTTCTTAATAGGTAATTAAGTATTTGAGCTATTGAGATATAAAAAATGGGCTTTAAAAGTTTGATTTATATTAATCTTTTTGCCAAACAAAATAAAGTAGATCACTCATAAAATTTTAGATAGGTCCCAAATAAACTTTATATATTTCTTGTAACAATTTGTTTCTTTCAGGTGGGTTAAGTGACCCACCTTCATCCAACGTATACTCGCCACTGTCCTAGTATAACCCTAATTTCAAGCTTATGATCTTCTAGCTCACTCTCTTCTCACTTATTAGAAAACTAATTCCATATGACATCCTCATCTAATTGAAGGTATTTCATTAAACTTTTTTTTATGTGTTTTTGTCATGATGATTATGCAAATGATATGTCCTAAATTATACATATTTTAAAGGACATTTTAGATACTTTATGGGCATTTTATGGAAAAAAATGGCACTTAATTGTTATAAATTTCTATTTTGCAGATTAAAAGAACAATATGTTAAAATAAAAGATATAAACGCATATTCTAGAACAAATTTTGTAGCTTGAGCACTAAGAAAATATTTAATTAAGGATGATTCAAGAATTAATGAAGATTTCAAAGATATTTGTTGGTATACGCAAATTGTGCCTCGACTATTATTTCTCATCGCGATTTAAATCGGTCACAGAATCCTATAAATATAGTTAATTTTCATCAAATACAGAGGATGACAACAGTAGGGTAATTTCAAGAAATCCTAGAAATTACAAGACGACCTAGAGAGGCCTTTTTGAGAGTCTAGAAGGATATATCATCCAACATGCTGATATATATGTAGAAATCTGAAGATCAAGAGAAGAAATTATAAGATTATCAATCTGTTTACTTTTATGTCTATAATTAGTTAACTTTTTTCGATTTCCTATATGTTATTTTCAAGATGTGGCATCAATCCCTTTATGATTTTTTATTATCTGTGAAATGCTAGTTTTATTTATTGATTGATTGATATTTGGTTACTGAGAGTTGTTAAATTTTATTATGTTTGCTCAATTAAAAATCCGTAGGTATTAATATTGATTATGTTATGTTTAGATAACTGAGTGCATGATTTATGATTAGGTTCAGATTATCTATCACGAATCACACTGCTTATTAACTTGTCAAAGCTGAAAAACTGAGTCACGAGCATAGGCAGTGGCGACTAGTGGAAAGTTATGTCCCTAGGTTAAACATAATAAATTTAAGATTAATATTTGTGATTGATCCAACAACTTGGATAATTTGAGAAGTTGTCACTAACCTTGACTAATCATACCTATTGAGTCATTACATAATACGAACGAATAGACTGGGTATAATGGAGCTATCATTGATAGGAGACAACTTAGAATCATATGATTAATGATATTAATCTGGAATTAATCAATTTAGAGGATATTAAAGGATATTAATTAATTAAACTAGGATGGATTGAATATAAATATGAGTACCTTCAGATTATGTTATCTATGTAGTTAGCCATGGTTATGTTTATTTGATTATTTATTTGCTAGTTTATTTGAATGACGTTATAATAAACCCCTTTAATTGCTTCCTTTTAATATTGATTAATAATAAGATACTGATATGTTAGGACACTTCTGTTATCAATGTGTTCGACACCCTTACTTCCCTAAGCTATGCTATCATTTATCCATTGCCTTTATTATTTATTTGTTCCACTGGTGTAGATAGTCTGTTTGGTTTGTTAAGAATTATAAATGTAAAACTAGATTTGTATTTTTAAGTATATATCTTTTACAACATCAAGTTTTCGGCGCCATTATCATATGGAATGGTGTTCAAGTTATCTCAAGTTTATAGACATTTTACACATCAAAATTTTTGGCGCCGTTGTCAGGGAATAGATTTCAAATAATATTGTTGTATTTGATTATTATTCAATCGATACTTTCTGAATATAATGTTAAATTTTGTTTTATTTTCAATTTTTCTTTGATAACAATTTCCCTTGTTGAAAAGGTGTTTTGTTGTACATGAACGAAAGAGACTAAGCACAGGGTTTTAACCGGAGGAATTGTTCAAATACAAGAACTTTTTAGGCACATATTCGCGACGAGATTTTGATATTGCGACACAATTAAACCTTTTTAATCGTTTATAGCGACACAATTGACACATCACGATGCTATTTTGTTATAGATTATATTGTTTCCTGATTTTATTTTTTATGCGTGGATTTAACAATTGTAAACTATGTTGGAAAATTGGTGTTAACTAATTTATAATAATGGGGAAAACCATTTTTTTACTCGTCCAAAACGGATTTAATATGAATGTGAAATTAATCATTAAAGTGGGAGTGTTGGAAGAAGTAAAGAAAAGAGTTTAATGGGTGAGAGAAAGAAAAGGAAAGTTCAGGGACCTTTCTGCAAATATTCTTTCTCTTTCTAACTGAAAATACATATTAATTACTGAACTAATCTTATGATTAATATCTGCATTTAATCTTTGTCGGATACAAATTTGACCTTTAATTTGTATGTATAAATAGAGGTTTTGGGTAATAAAATGCGTATAACTAACACGTGTAATGGCTAATAAGCCTAAGATCATCCACAATGGTGAGTTCAATGAGAAGGTTGAATGGGGTGGCAAGTCTAGTTGTCATTCAATGGATGAAACTCTACCATAGTGAGATGTCACATTGACATTCAATGGATTTGGAGTTCAATGGTCATTGAACTCTTCAATGGGAAAAAGGAAAGTTTTCTAATCTTAAATACATACTATAAATTAGTTTTTGTAACTTTCTATTGAACTTTGTAGAGTTCAATGCATTGTAGAAAAAAATTGATTGAGTTGTATGAAATGTAGAAAAATGATATGGCAATCCATTGAACTCTATGGAGTTCAATGCATTGTGGATGCCCTAATATCAATGGCAATAACCCTTCCACTTACTTGTTTGATTATTCTAATGTGTGGCATGCTAGACTTAGACATGTTAATTTTTACACATTAAGATGGTTAATCAATTTTGAACACATACACATGAGTCAAAATATGGATGCAACACATGTGTTGAATCAAAGTTAACATGCCAATCATTTAAGTTCGC